ACATACAAATACACAGCCATTAGTTTTTTTTTTCTACTTCTGAACATAATTTGAGAAAAAGTCTGGTAAAAAATACATATAGAGTAAAACTGTAAAATAAGAAATTGAGAATAAAAAACCAAGTGAAGGACTACAGTTGTGCCAGAAAAGTTGTTACCATTAGAACGTTTTACAGTGGAGCTTCCTGACAGTCAATCAATAAAATAAAGAATACATTATTAAAAGAAAATGCAGTATCTGTGGGTACATATTAGCCATCATACCTAGAATTCTTAAGTACAGTACACATATGGATACATTCCTACACATAGGACCAAGAAGTTTTAATATTTCATCACAAAAAATTATGGATCTGAAAGCAAAATTAGAAATTTAGGCTAACTTGATGGTTTGGCTGGTAAAACTTACCATAATTCTCCTAGAAGCATTCATGAACCAAAGTCAGATGGATTATTTCATCCACGCAAAAGACCACCTACTGTATGTCATACAAATATTACTCTTTAAATCCTATGTGAATACACTTGTCAAGGTTGGGTGGTCTTATTGAAGATTTTTCACTTCAGTGGCGTTTGTATATCATAAAAATACTTTACTTGAGCTTCCTTGCAGGGTTCATTATTTTTTCTTTGATATACAAGTTAAAAGAGAATTTTCATTTTGTGGTATATTACAGCTAAAGATTTCAATGCAGATGAAATAAACTTTGTACTTGCTGTCATCACAATTTGTATCTTTAACATTAATATGGTTAGATTTTTTTCACATTTCTGCATTCTGAAACATTGCATGTCATGTTATTTTTTCTTACATCTGTAACCTTAGACTTTGAGAACAGAAGCTGTCCTAGCTATCTATAGAGATTGAGAAGTGTCTGCCCTATATATCACTCATATTTTATACCTGCACCAATGCTAAAACTCATTTTCCTACCATCCATCTTAGTTTTTCACCATGGTGTAAACTACCAGTTGTCTTCTTTTCATAGATAGGGTTTTTTAATATTTTCAAAAGTTATGAAAAGTTTAAGATATTGTACCATTTCAAAGTAGCCCGTTAGCCTACCACAAGTTCAAGAATGCTGATAGAAGATAGGAGCCTCTTGGGTCAGAGACAAAGGACTATGTTACAAAAGTAGCAGTAGCCAGAGTATTAGCACTTTCTCTTCCCCTAATTCCAATTCCCACAGGTCAGTGCCAAGAGAGCTACATGATACCTGCATCCTGAGTGATTTGTGTTATGGGAGAGGAATTGTTATATATGTGTGTGTGTGTATGAACATAGTTATGTGTGTATTTATATAATGTATGTTAATCATTAAATAATAATAATTGAACTATCATTCAGCATGTCTAACCTAGGTTGTGACTCAACTCAGCCAATAAGAGACTCAACTTAAAAAAAAGTGACTTTTTCAATAATAGTTCTGAAGTCCCTTCCTTTTGTTTTTCCCTGATTACCCCTCTTATCCCTGCATATCTAATCATTGTCTTAAGCTTTTTTTCACTTCATGGCTTGATTTTCTCTATAATTTTATGCATATATTTCCATATGTACTGTCCTATAAAAAGTGAATTATTGTTTGCCTGTTTTGAAATATGTATCAATGGGATAATACTGAGTGTTTACTTTTGTGACTTACTATGCACTTCAAAACAAGCAAAACTAAAAAATATATTTTTAAAGTTAGTTCATGTCAATGCAGATAGGTTAGATCATTTGTTTACCTTAATAAATAGTCTGTTTCTAAAGGCTACCTAGAAATGCATATTAACTTAATATCTAAAATCAATCACTGTTTATTCCCTTCCCAAAATATGAAGTTACCTGAGAATATTTTAACTACTGTGGAATACTAACTCCCCAGATACCACCACACTTACACTGATAAGACAGAATTGAGTCTATTGCTTACCTTGGTGACAGAGAAGACCATGTTAACAGTTTTAGTAGACTCTGAGGAGGAAAAGCAAAGGCAAAAATGGGTCTTTCAATGTGGAGACTTGATTAAGATGGGTAAAGGATCAGGATTAAATAGTTTACAATTGGTGGAAACAGGGTATTTCAGGGAAGAGTTTCATCAATGTTAATACTTTCAGTTGAAGAAGTTAGCAGTTCTTTTGGGAAGTTCATGTAAAGAGGAGTAAAGTTAATTGCCTGGGCAATAATGATGGCAATAAAATAGTAATGTCATGCTGTTGCAAAGAGAACACTGGTGGGTGTTTTTGTTCTATGGTCCAAGCTGGTTAACTACAGATAACCCCACTTCTGATTAGCATGCATATGATAATTATCGTGGGTTTTAGTTTTGTATTTTTTAACTTCACAGTCAAGACATTGTTTTTATGTAATCTATAGGTGATAAAAAATTATTAATTTTCTTTAAAATTAAAAAAGTTTTTTAACTTCACAGTCAAGACATTGTTTTTATTATTTCATGTAATCTATGGGTGATAAAAATTATTAATTTTCTTTAAAATTAAAAAATGTTTTGAACATTTTCATCTTTTCCTGCAGTTTATAATAGAATTAATGTGGCATTAGTATTTGCTCATTTATTTACTCTTACATTCAACAAGCACTTCTTGAGCATGAGCACTGTGGTAGGTAATAGGATGACAGCAGTGAGTGGAAAATGGCTCATACCCTTGTGTAGCTTAGTCTGGATAAGGAGGCAGACAGACAAGTAAACAGTCAAATAAAACAAAATGCCACCAATCCCAGGATATGGTAAATACGGAGTACAGTTATTACTGTAACTGATTATAGTTAGATAGCTTTGTTGACCATTTTATAGCTCATATCATAACTGTGTATCTTGCTGGTAGCGGTCTATAAATAATTGTTATTAATTTATCTGGAAAAAGAGGCAGACAGACAAGTAAACAGTCAAATAAAACAAAATGCCACCAGTCCCAGGATATGGTAAATACGGAGTACAGTTATTACTGTAACTGATTATAGTTAGATAGCTTTGTTGACCATTTTATAGCTCATATCATAACTGTGTATCTGGTAGTGGTCTATAAATAATTGTTATTAATTTGTTGTGGAGAATTGTGTGAAGATGAATTTACCCTGCCAAGCAGACCTCAAAAATTCAAATATTCACTGTCTGTGTTTTGCTCTAGTAGATATAGCTTTCAAGGATGGTATAGGTTTCTTACATCAATTTTACATTGCCAGGATAGGCTGTGGATGATAAAACTATAAGGAAACAATTGTTTTTGACAACAACATAAAGTATTCCTTAGTTGCATGACCATACAATTGAAATAAAGGAAGACATTATTGTTTACTTAGCTGATAATGACCTTGGAGATGCATAAGTGCATCATAAGAATCTATTTTCAAAAAAGAAATATTTTCATGAGCCCCTTAAAAGAACATGAAAGAAAGAAAAGGTACCACTAGGCACTGTTTGGCATGAGTGATCTTAAATTTTAGCCGTGAGAGAGCCAAAGGTGTCCCATGAAACCCTTTACTTACATGTTAATTCCCGGCCTGAATCTGCAGAACTGAGAATAAGCAGTTGGGTGTTGGACTTTAATTCAGAATTTTGGTCCTGTTCATGATGGCCAGAAAAAGATAGATTAAACAAAAGACATTGGTACCTTTTTAAGATGCACTGTGGAGCCCTGCTAAGACCAGATAAGAAGGTTTGCCTGGTGCTGTGGATGATGATATGGCTATTTCTGTGGTATGCTTACCTCAACCACTGGTGAGGGGAAGTGACCTAGATTGGCTTAGGGAATTCTTTACTCATCCCCAAGCCTTTTTAAGGGCTCATCTGTATCGCAGCACATGCAGATTGGTTACCTAAACAAATGATTTGCGTTTTAAGGAAGAAGGGGAGGCACATTGTAGCTGTGCAGATAAACAGTAGTGTCTGCTATAGTGCTCTGTTATAGCTAGGAGTGATATAAGTATTGCAGCAGAGAAAGATTAGTTAAAATAATATTGTGTGTTATGGAGATGGATGGTGGGTGTGTGGGTACCCATGCACCTGTGTACAAAGAAAACCTGCAAATATTCCAGTATGTTTTTTTATTATTATTTCAAAGCTACATTCTCTTTTGTCCCAAGGCACAAGTTATGGGAAGGACAAAATTTCCAGTTTCAATATTTATGACATTAAAAATATTTCTACCCTAGTCCGTTTGGCTCAGTGGATAGAGCATTGGCCTGAGGACCGAAGGGTCTCGGGTTTGATTCCAGTCAAGGGCATGTATCTTGGTTGCAGGCTCCTCCCCGGCCTGGGCCCTGGTCAGGGCTCCTGCAGGAGGTAATCAATCAATGGTTTTCTCTCACATTGATGTTCCTCTCTGTCTTCCCCTCTCTCTTTCCATCTCTCTAAAAAATCAATGAACAAATATCCTCGGGTGAAGATTAATGAAAAAGAAATATTTCTATTAGACAACCCAAAGAATAACTTAGAATGTTAAATGGTCATTATATTATAGAGAAGAGATGCCCTTCCTCTTTTCTCTGAGGGTTAGTCTGGATTTATATGAGCTTTGAGAAGAGCAGATGATACAGACCCGTATTACATCATGTCTACATGTCTAGGAATATTACAATTCTGCTCCAGTTGCGCCTTAACAAAATATTTTCCTAATAAATTGTGGCAGAAATTAAAAAAATAGTGGGATTTATACCACAAAGCGTAACTGTAAGACTCAGTTTCCGGTGACCACAAATAATTAGCCAATGACTGTAACAATCTGGTAAAGAAAATGTTTGCATTATGTTACTAAAAATTTCAGGATTAGTCTTTATCCAGACTCTGAGCAATGCCATTATGTCACTTTGGCTCCACCTCTGTAGGCTTGCTTCCCTGTAGTTGACTCCATT